TAATCATTTCCTTGTATGTGAATGCCTCCATCCAACAAATATTCATGATGGTCATGATTATTATTCAATACATTTGACATTGTCATTGACATAATAAACAATTGCAACACCCAAGTAATAAATAATACCAAGGCCATGCATAAATGAAACTTTTAATAATGCATGTCTACCCAGATCTCTGGGGTTCACAAGAATAAATTATTTTTCCTGATTATCAATTATGGTTCCTTATGAATGATAAATCTGATTGTTGATCACAGGTGTCAGATTTAATAAAAATTTTCCTGTCACAAACATGTGGTTGGGTGCTCTCACACGCCTCATAACTATGGAATTTTTTTCCCACAGGTGAAGGTCCCCAATGTTGGAAGGCTTTGGACAAAACTTTCCCTTATCTTCCCCTCGGACCAGGCTGGCTGTTACCATATAATAACCACTTTTAATTCTATCCAATTAAATTCAATTTAAAACTTTGAATATATTTGTTATGGGCATTGATCACTGATAGCTGGTGCTTGTGTTCGTGCAATGATTGCTTTGTGTTATCACCCTCTCTCACTAGAATAAAGTTGATTTAAATAACAAGTTCAGTTGGTCAAACAAAGACCAAAGAGAAACAGAAAATTTATGAAAATGATTAATTTATATATAACATACCAAACAAAATCTGAACCATTTTATTTTACAGCCTCCCTCCTGACATCAGAACCCAAATGCAATTTCAGGGCCACCAACCCCACCCTGAATTGCAACCTGTACTTGAAACAAGTTGCAGATTCTCGTTGCTTTGATGGATCTGGATGTTTACATGGCACTATAATTCATCAACAGAGTTGCGACTTGGTCACAGAGCCAACCTTATCCTAGGGGTAAGGTCATTGCAGGCGACTTTTCAGCTAACATGGCAGCAGCCTTCTCTGGTCTGGGAAGATTATCAAAAGTGTCATTGACAATTGATGTAGTCTTGGTAAACTCAGGGCCATGTTGCCCCCCCCCCTGGAATTTAATTGCATCATCATATCATCGGGATAATCTTGGTCAGTTTAGCCTTGTGCACATGAGGAATGAGCAAATGACTGTAATGTTCAAGGTAGCATGTGTGCTTCAACATTTGCTAATTTCCGATAATCAAACATGAAATGTTTCTTTTCAACGGTGACATCTTGTAATTAATTATATATTTATAATATTATTAATATTATTGATTACACGAAGCAAAATACCAATCATTCATTTGTTATCATCTTGATAAGAATCTTATAATTACCCAGCAAGATCTGCTCCGCATTTTGATTCCAATTAAAATATTTATAAACTAAAAGATACCACATTATATCAATGCAAACAAAAAATAGTACCTCTATTATTAACACTTCTTCTTTAGGAGAATCAAACCGTACCATGCCAAACAACATCACTCACGTTTCCTCACCTTGGACTCTGTCAAAAAATAAATTGTTTTTCCAAAAAAAAAAAAAAAAAAACCAATTCGCGTCTGTTCCTTGTACAACAAAAAAAACCAATAGGATAAATAATTAAGTACGCGTCGATCAATTAATAAACTTTTGATAAAATGTCTTTTAAAATAAAAGAAAAGGAAGAAAAACAAACGAAGAAGAAATAGCAAGGATTTCTGGGTAAGTGTTTTAAGGGTGGTGGTTATTGCCACTTGTCGTCACTCTAGTTTATTATTAAAAAAAATTTTCAAAATTCGTTGTAACAAAATTTGTTGTATATTAATAACAGGAAAAGAAGAAATTCAAATGTTTCAACTAGATCTCCTTCACCAGTCCCTCCTCCATCACATTCAATTAATTATCAAAATTCTAACACTAAAGCTAACAATACAATCACAAATGCAAATAAAGAAAACAAATATAACGACGAGATAATTCAAGGGTAAGTGTTTTAAGAATGGCGATGGTTATCGCCGTCACTCTAGTTATTATATAAAAAAACGATGTCCAATACTCGTCATTGTTACCAACATTAATAGTGTTAATAAGCGTCCTAACCGAGGAGATTCACCCAAATCTAAAAATGGTTTAAAGGTAAGTATGAAAAAATAAAATTCTTGAAATCTGAAACCTTATCTTTTGAGCAAAGCTTTAACACATTCCATATATATTATTTTTTAGAAACAAAAAACTATTTTGCCCTCTGTTTCAGGCACAAAATGTGATAAAAACATTGACGAACAATATTTTTTTCGTAATTGTAGCAGTGAAACTAAAACAAACATAGCAAGTTGGCTACAATGGAGATTAGATATAAATAGTGAAATAAAAAAGGAATATATATACAGTACTTATTTACTTCAAACAAATTGTGCTTACATCAAAACTAAAGATTGTGGAAAAACAAACAACGGTTTAGCGTTTTCTATAGAAAAGGCGAAAAAGGTTAATAAAATCTAAAATTATTTTTATGTATAATGTTGAATGATAAGGCTGGTTCTATTAGATATTCCGATCACACTTACAAAAAAGTTTTGAAATCAATAACATGATTTCAGTCCTACATTAGTTTTCACATGATAAAAAAATGTAAAATCACCAATTAGTCTTTTAATAAAAAGACAATCATCAGTCTGTTGGTCCTTTAAGGCTTTTTAACATTTCTACTCATAAAAACAATCATTGGGCTAAATTGGTAATTGGTTTCTCCAATATGGAGCCAGAAACTTGTCATTTGATTGTTTTCATTTCTCTTTTGGAGCCAACCACCAAGGTTATGACTTGTGGATTATCCTCCAATATGGGACTAAAAGCCAATGGCCTTTGATTTCTGTTTTGTGGAACAGTTTACCTAGCTCGTGAATAAAATATAATATTTTGATCAAAATGCAATATATTTATGTAATGTGTATATGACTTGTCATTATTCTAAAATATTTTTTCTTTTTTTTTTTTTTTTTTAGATCGATCAAAACACTATTTTAGCCATATATGATGCGTTGATAATCATACGTCAAGCAAAGGTGGGATGATATCTGTTCTTTTAAACTTTGATTTTTTTACAATATAATCAACTTAATTAACTTAATTACAATCTGTCTTCATAGAATGAAAATGACATCATAGATGTTAATATATGTGAAAATATCAATACACTCAATAAGAGTCTTGTAAGTTGTTGCTAATTATAACGATGGTAGTTTTTAAGAATTGAAATATTAACGAATAATATCCTATAGGATGAAGAAATAAATAGTGTGTATGGTGATGAAGCATTATTGATAAAAGAGATGCGTAATAATATTGAAGACATTAATATCAATGAATTAAAATATGACAACCCTTTGGCATCAGGAATAATCACATCCTTTTCTTCTATAATTGGAAAATTACCAATGAATTTACGTGTGCTATTTGAAGTTAAGTATCTTTCCCTTCCAAAACATTGTGACTTTACATATATACTTCATAGATTATACATGTCATATTTTATAGAAGGATAGTCAAATCAATACTACAGAAAGATCCAATTTTCAAAAACTTTGTGATGAAGTCGTAGACAAGCATCTAATATACCAGAAAGAAAAAAAGTCAACACATTTACTAAAGTTACAACCTTTTGCTGATGGGTGGTCTGAAACCATGGAAAAACATGAGGAAATCATTACTGGGATTTTAAGGGTCATGTATGTAAAGACATAACAATTAACATAATATTTTTTTAGTTTTTTTTTTTAATTAAATTAATTTGTAGATCATGGGCGTGGAGACAACACAAGTATAAAATGGAAAATGTTAACGGAGATAATATTAGTGAAAATTCATATGTAGCTGATATAGTGTCACCATTGATTAATGCAACACTCGATGACCTACCAACTTGTTTGCAATATACGATTACAGTGTAATTGTAATGTATAATATGTTGTTTGTTTATTGACTAATAAGTTTAAACTAACTTTAATATATTGTAATTGTAGAGGAGATTCAGAAAGTAAAGTTAGTAAAGAAAGGAAAGGTGATGGAAACATTGGGAGAAAACCAGATATGATGGTTTCCGTGGATGTTTTTGGCGATATAATAGAATTCACTCATCTTGAAACTAGCAGACCAATTTCGACAATAAAAAAGAATTACGATGATAGGAACAAGCTGGCCCGTTTGAACAAGGATGGGCTTGATTATTGTGCAAAGAAACATCCGTTTGTTTTTAATATGTTCAAGATGTTTAGCATTCAAATATCAGGTATATAATATATATTTTACATAATAATTTGTTGTATGTAATATTAATATTGGTAATTCTATTTCATAAGGACGAAATTTAAGAATATTTGAAGCAAGAAGAACACATTCTTATTACAAATTTGTGATGGTAGATGAAGCAGAAATACCATTATGCGTAGATATGGAAAACCATACAAGTACCAGAAAAATTTTGCATAGACTTTTGGATGTACTTCTGAAGTTGAGGGTAACAACTTTCCTTTTGTATACTGATATAATATGCATACTAATACTGATAGCAATATGAATCCTTTGACCTATTTAACCCAGGAACGAACCATACGACTATTAAATGGACTAGCAGTTTATGAACAACAAGGCCAGCCAGTTCAATCATATCCACTACGTTTTAAAACAATATCTACTCCATAAAATTATCTAAATCATTTACAGCAAAAAAAAATGATGTGACAATTTAATTTCAGTATAATAATTATTCTCCATTGATACAATAAATATGAATTAATTATTCTATTTCAAAACAAAATTTCAGCCTAATAATGATTTGTGTTATTGTTAATTAAAATTATTTATATAATAAAAACTAAAGTGGCTGAGGTCTAAATATATTTGACATTATTATAAAATACTTTATTCATTTAACTTTAAGAAGATATCTTAAAAATTGTATAGGAAACATTGGTTTGATTTACTGTGTTCAATTACACAGAAATTTTTGGGATTAGAAAAGCTCCTAATAAAATGAATCACTTCTTTTTGAACGTGTGCCATCCCTTTTCTACTGAAGAATCAATGAACCATTTTTGTTGACGACTCTTTCTTTGCATACTAGCCCACAAGATATGTCACAAAGGTAAATGTATCATTCTTAATTCACCTCTTGTACAACCAAAATTATGTATTTTGACCCTCCTGAAAAACAAATTTGTATAATATATCAGGAAGTCTGAACATGCTTATTTATACGATGCAGATCATCTATAATCATTAATTGCTTATGGTAAAAATCGGTCAACTTCAAAATACTAAAACAAAAAAATTTTATATTATTTTAAAAAAATTAACCAATAAGTTTTATTGTTGATGACTCAGGCTTCAAAACTTATCGGCTAGATTTTTCTTAAACTAAAAATTGGCCGAGCCTTAGCATTTTGAAAATTCAAATTTTGTTATACACTTAAGAAATTGAGATTAAGTAAATTCTGTGTAACAATTTTTTTCATAAAATATTTTTACAACATATCAATATATTGGTTTATTATTTATTTCCTTTTTTTTATTAATATATAAAGGTTCTTTACAATAAAAAAGTTAATGAACATATTTTATTAAAAGAAAAGAAAATTTGAGACAAATTTTTTTTACATGAATTGACTTCATTTTTAAAGCTGAATTGAATGGTGGTAATTTTTTTAAAATCCGACATGTGGATCACATAATATTTCAAATTTTTTAACTTTTGAAGCCCACAAGATATGTCACAAAGGTAAATGTATCATTCTTAATTCACCTCTTGTACAACCAAAATTATGTATTTTGACCCTCCTGAAAAACAAATTTGTATAATATATCAGGAAGTCTGAACATGCTTATTTATACGATGCAGATCATCTATAATCATTAATTGCTTATGGTAAAAATCGGTCAACTTCAAAATACTAAAACAAAAAAATTTTATATTATTTTAAAAAAATTAACCAATAAGTTTTATTGTTGATGACTCAGGCTTCAAAACTTATCGGCTAGATTTTTCTTAAACTAAAAATTGGCCGAGCCTTAGCATTTTGAAAATTCAAATTTTGTTATACACTTAAGAAATTGAGATTAAGTAAATTCTGTGTAACAATTTTTTTCATAAAATATTTTTACAACATATCAATATATTGGTTTATTATTTATTTCCTTTTTTTTATTAATATATAAAGGTTCTTTACAATAAAAAAGTTAATGAACATATTTTATTAAAAGAAAAGAAAATTTGAGACAAATTTTTTTTACATGAATTGACTTCATTTTTAAAGCTGAATTGAATGGTGGTAAGTTTTTTAAAATCTGATGTGTGGATCACATAATATTTCAAAAATTTTAACTTTTGAGTATAGATGATCTGCACTGTAGTCCTGGACACCCTAATCATAATCCAACACGCTCATTAAATAGCAGAAAACTGGCAAATTTAACAACCTATACTTTTATAAGTAAATATAATATTTGACATCTGTTCAAGATGATTTGATAATGAATTTTTTTTCATGTGACATAGTAAATGTGTGACTTTCCATAAGGGTGAAAAAATTGTTAAAGTTGATTTTACTATAAATTTTCCCGGATTGGCAATAATTAAATTCTTTTCTTAACTGGATTAATTTTTACATTATATGGTTATTATTTATGTTGCACAATCCAATAATATTATTTATCAATCGATTTTATTTTAAGTTCTAGCAGTTTGTTTTTTATCTATACATTAATGTGATTATTTCATTATTTATTGCTTCAATGGTAATGTAATGCAAACCTAGCTTAATTACATTATGCAAAATGATAGAAATCTTAACACTGAGGCATGTCCACATAAACTGAATATATTAAATATATTTTAATCTATCATATTTATTTAGGATAAATATAATATTTTAGCAACATCTTATGTTTTGTATTTATACCTCATTTTTCGTTATTATCTAAAACAATTTATTAAAATTATCAATATATATTATGATAAACCAAAATACATTAAATGTTGTTATACAATGAGACAACTTGGTTTATTAAAACTATAAACATGCTTCATTGTGAACTATTTTCGAGCTATAACTAGAATCTAAAAAATTAAAACAAGGTTGATGCCAATCCTGACTCATTGAAACTATTTCTTTGAAGTTTGGTGTTGCAAGAGTGTTATGCCTGCTTGGTTCTTTTCTTCAGTAGAAATAATACAGTTGAATCAGGGTTGGAAAATGTGTGGTCCATCAGTGTGTAACACTTTAACCATATTTAGAATTTTATTAATGGTAATGGACCAGTCAATTTGCCAACCTTGAGTTGGACCAAAATGCATTGGATATGATGAGAAGCATATCAAGGCTGGTGAAAAAAGCAGGAACTTGTTCAAGTGAAGGTAGAGGTTATTCATCTCTTCTTGAACTTTTGCTTCACCATGTCCTTTGCTCAAGTTCCAAGACAACTGATCAATTCGTTGATGATAGAATCAGGTTGTTTCAGGGTTGGCAATGTGTGGCCCATTGATGGTCTATTGGTGGTTCATTGGGTCCATTAGTGTAACACTTTAACCATATTTAGTGTTTTATTAATGGCAATGGACCAGTCAATTTGCCAACCCTGGGTTGTTTTGCCCTGTCTATTGGCTTTCTAACCCTGGGCTGAGAATCGGATCAATGTAACTCCACCTCTCCAATGGGGCTTTTTAGTGCGACTCTTGGCACTTTTCGATATTAATAATTAAAATAAAAAGTGTATTTAGCATTGGATACTGTAAAAAACCTCTTGCTCCAAAATTCATTACAATCTTACATGTTTCTTATGGCCTTCAAAATTGCACATTTTCCATAAGAACAACTGACTCCAAGAATTTGCAGTTCTGAAACAGCATTGTCTCTTGTGATCTCCTCCTGTTGCAGATGCTGTAACAAGAATGAGTGCATTGAACTTTTTTCAAATCAAATAAGTAAAAGGAGATAGTATACCTTGATAATGTGGACAAGCTTTATCAATATTTCATCATCAAACTCTGTCTCTTGTTTGGTAAGTCTCTGTATGATGTCCTTGTGCATCATTTCTAATAATTCATCACCAAAAACCTTCACTATTAACAGGCAATAAGATACCTGTGATGAGGAAGAAGAACCAAAAATCTCACATCAAGATGGGAAAATTCAATTGAGATTGCAACCTTTTTAGAACAAAGTGATTTTACTACTAGGGAAGATACTAAGTATACTAATGATATAATAAAACATTTAAATGTATCTACAGATAGAAAAAACATCAGTCTTCAATTACTAAATTTTATTAATAAAATTACTAAATAAGTATTATATATGGGGCATACTGCAACAAAACCAGACAAAGTGAACATTGGTATTACCAAGAATTTCAGGGATCAAAATTTAGTCATTTGTAATGTGATTATAATTATCAGTTTTATAATATATAGAATTACCTCTATATAAAAATAGTTAATATGAAACTCATTTATATCAGATCTACTATGGAACCCAAAAATTACAGCACCATTAGAAGTATTTTAAAAAAGGAACAAGGTGAAAAAATTGCTCCTTATATTTTTAAAATAAATGATACTCAGGCAATTGAAGCTTATCTAAGGAAAGAAAAGATTGCTTATGAAATTTACCAAGAAGAAAAAAGAAAGCAGAATGAAAGTATATTATTACCCAACAAAAAGCAGAAACCCTTAGAAGAAAATAATCTCATTGTTACATTATTGATTTATTTTATTTTTTCTTTCTCCTTTATGCAAATGAGGTAAATAGTTCTTCCTTGTTGTAAAAGAATCACCAGTCCATTTTTGTAACAATCCCTAGATTTTTTCAGAGATTTGATCAACCCCTAAATTCTATTACCATATTTGTAATGTGGAGAAATTCATTTTCGTTCCACTGGATGAACATGGGTAATATTATTTGGGGAATTTGCATTTATTTTATTTTATTTATATTTAAGTAGTTATCTTTCAATTATGGATCATACTTTACAGGAAGTCTATAAGCTTACCCACAAATATAGATATTAGATCCATTCATTTTTCTTTTATTTATTTATATATTCCTAACAATTGTAAATTAATATAAAATTAATTCAACTTTAACTTTTGTAATTTTACAACAATTAAATTACTTGTTCATTAAAAATTGTTCAATAATTGTAATAAATTATCTGAACATTTACATAAACAATTTTATTTTTTTGGTTCAAAAACAATCAAATAATCAATAAATATTTACACAGTATTTTCATCCAAAATAACATTCAATAATGAATTTTTTTGTGGGTTGTTAATTGGACTCTTTCTTGGTTTCTTATTTCACTATAAAATTTATCAAAATCAATTCTCTATTATAAATCAAAAAATTGATCAAATAGTCAATAAAATAGAACCAAGAAAAAGCCATTTTAAAAATAAAATAACCAACTTACTGTTAACAAAAAACATTCACATGAAATGGAAGGTTTTCAAACAATTATTTGACAAAAAGACTGGGTTGAATCCCAATTTTTCATTTAATAAAATGGCCATTGAAATTTGTAGGTAATCCTTTCTTTTCTTAGATAAGTTTCCAATGCCTGAGTATCACTTATTTTGAAAATGTAAGGTGCAACTTTTTCACCTTGTTCTTTCTTCAAAATACCTCTAATAGTGCTGTAATTTTTGGGTTCCATAGTAGACCTGATATAAATGAGTTTCATATTATTGTTTTTATATAGGGGCAGCTATATATAAAAGATGAAACTATCACATTACACATTACAATTGTGATGTCAAACAAATATTATTGATCCCTGAAATCTTCAGTAAGACAATGTTCGCTTTGTCTGGTTTTGTTGCGAGCATGCCCCATATAATCATGTTTTATCACAGTGACAAAATCAAACACTGATCTTCAATTTAATTAGTGCTTTCAGTTTAACAAAACTAAATTAAGAATAAAAATTTTTGACTGACATCATAAAATTATAAAAACAAAAATGAATGCAAGCACTGTCAACAATAACAATAATGGCGATTCACAAAACTCTTTTAATGGAAAAGAAAAAAGGTTTTCAAGAATTAACCCTCGTATAAAACTTTTTAAACCCAACCAATTTGGCTACAGTAGTATAATCAGGAACCCACATGCGAAACTCAATCAATCATCAGAGAAAAATAAAACACACAAAGATGTTGATTTAGATACAAGGTCAAGTAATCAACTCAAACATGGTTTGTCTGTTGATGAGCTTGAGCCTGTACAATCTTATAAAAGACGGCAATTTACTGTTCCCAATAGCCAGTTTAGAACAACTGATTCACGGACCATTTCAAGATCAACAATATTCACCAATCCATATTCCAGAGAGCTTAGACATGCGGTAAAAAATATTGAAGAAATGCAAACGTTCGAAAATTCTTTATTGTCCATTGATATTGATGGATGTTTAAAAGAAAATTATCATGACATAACTACATCACAGACTAAGAATGATACAATGTTAGGGTCAACAAATAACACAAATAACACAATTTCATCAGATTTGATTTTAACATTTATGGCTTTAGATGATATATCAAAAATAGAAAGTGAATCATTTATCAAGAAGAAAAATGTTGAAACCAACATTGTAAATGATAATAATGGAGGGAATATTGATGCTGTCAGTAGTGATGGTAGTAACAGTCATAATGATGTCGGTATTGACTCCAGTAATAATGCTATTAATAGTGCTAGTGATGAATATTACAGTAGTAATATAAATGATAATAGTAATAACTCCATTTATTATGATATTGTTGATAGAAACACCAATAATGATTATTATTCTCCTTCTCAAAATCCTATAATGAACTTTTTAAACATGGAAGAAAGAATCGAAGTTGGATATGATGACTTATCAGGAATTGCACAAATTATGAACAATAACTTTGCTTCTACGCAAAGCATTCAAACATCATCAGATATTCAAAATCAAATGGAAGTACTATTAAATCGTGGTATTTTTCAAAGTTTTGAATCTAATGATGATGTTGATAATTCACAGTATTATCATAATAGTGGTAATGAAGAAGGTAGTGGTGATGGTGGTGGTGGTAATTGCAGTGAAGAAGAAGAAGAAGATAGTGGCAGTAGTGGTTATAATAATAATAATAGATTTTCTGACAGTGATGTTGCTGTGATTGTTGAGGATGACAATGACAATGATAATAATTATAATTATGATTATAATACTGAGGTTAAAAATTTCACAAAAAACCCTGAACTATCATCATATGAAGAAGAAGATGATGGTGAGGGTGTGGGTGATGAGGGTGTGGGTGATGAGAATAGTGATTTGGATGAAGAAAGTGATGATGAAGCAAGTGTTAATATAATTGAAATTGATTGATAACACTGGTGGCGACGATAATAATAATGTTGGTGATGGGTGATGGTGGCGGTAGTAATAATAATGATGATGATGATAATGGTGGTGATTGTAATGGTGGCAGTAGTAGTAGTAATAACAATGATGCTGATGATAAGTATATCAATATTTTGTTGTTGATAAATAAAAGAATTTATTATATAAATGTGCTATCAATTTAGTATTAAAGATGAATAATATAATAAACAAAGGTAATAGCTTTTCCCATTATAGGAGAATCCATTATAGATAGTAATGATTTATTAATTTTTTTTTCAAATGTATGAAAATCTCAAACCACTTGAGTGATAAAGAAATACATGTGATAGTACAAGATTCTCATGCTAATAATTAATTATCATCTCAATCTGAGAACTTTTGTTTTTTTTGGCGCTTTGATTTAGTTTTTGGTGCATTCATCGGCAAAGAAATGTTGACAATTAAGTTATTCTATATAATAAAGTAAATAATTTAGTCAACTACCATTTGCAATTCTGGGTCAAAAAATAAAAAAAATAATACCGTAATGCCTCCACAAACTGTGACATATCTTCTTCATCAACTAGTTGTATCGGGATTTCAATAGAACGTACATGGTAGAGACGATTAATGTCATCTGTATCTTTGATGAGAACATTTAGATGCAACATTCTACCGGCGACTTGGATTCCAACAGGCACCTACCATAAATATCCGACCGCCCAAGGTGTGTAACGTCAAATGAAAAGAGTCCTTACTAAAAAAGTAACGTTTTCTTAAATAAAACCTTTTTTACTTTACAAGTAGATTTTACTTGATATCAAAATCTTTAAATTACAAAAGCTTCGAAAGTTCGGTTTGGTATTGACGGAAACATTTAGCAAATAGTCCAAAAAAGCAAATTTCCAATCGGAATCTTTACATGTAATAAAGGACAAATTTCTTCATTGTAATGTATATTATTTCATTAATAAAATGTGCTCGACGTAACAGATTACATATATCTACAATATGGTGTTGGCATAAATTAGTTCGTGAAAAGGGTTTAAAAAAGTATCCGACCACCCTGTAATTTTATTATATAAAACACTTAATAAAGTTGACAAAAATGCAAATTTTAAGGCTTTACGTTTTGTTGTCTATACTTGATCAAATTTTCTCAAATTTTAACCATATACAATTCAAGTTTAATGACGTAATCCATGATTCAACGGAGTTTTGAAGGTTTTTACTAAGCTTAAAGTTTTCATAAAAATCACGGAATTCTTTGTCTAATTTAAAATTTTCATCCTAAATACATTATTAATGCAAACTTTAAGTTTATATGCAAATTAACTTTAAAAAAACATGTTTACTTAATGCACCAGTCCCGGCTTGATTAATAAAATTTTGAACTGCATAAGACGTAACATTCCGATTATTAAAATGATCATCAGGTGGTCGGATATTTATGGTAGTGGAAAAAATCACAAAAAATAAATTTAACCTTTGCCGCACGACATTTAATTTGCCAGAACAAGGTAAACATTGCAGATCTAATTAAAATATGGAAACAATACGAGTTTTGTGACACAGGAACACCTTATTTATTAACAATTGAGAAACTATCAAAATCAAACAATTGATTTCTGCGCCCGACTTAACAATTTTAAATTCGTACACCACAACACACTAATATTTTCATCACCAATCCTACATTTATTTATTGTATTTATTTACCATGTAATTAATTATTGACATAATATTTAAATCAATTGTAAATATTGAAATTTTAATGTTACCTCAGATTATATATAAATAGTATTAGTGTTCTTTTTTCCCTTGTTAAAAAACCAATTATTCTGACGCTAACACTAATACTAATATTAATATGATGAATAATCGTCGACAACGAATTCAATTTCTTTTTATTACTTTATTAATACTTGTAATAAATGTTGAAAGTCGAGCTTTTGATGGCAGTGATAATAATTTAAAGAATCCTACCTCTGGTATTCCATCACAAAGTTTCCAAAGAAATTATCCTCCTCAAGCATTGTTTGGGTAAATTCAATTAATTGAATAAACAATTGTAATAGCACTTTTTTTAGATTTAATTTTAAATATAATTATATATACAGAGCAGATGGAGATTCAATGATAAAATCACCTTCTGATATAGTTTTCGCTGACCCAACACAACCAATACCAAAATGTACAGGCTTACTTCCGGTTGATACTTATCCAATGCCAAGATGTGTATCAAATATCCTCACTAATTATAATTTACAACCTTATAATTTTAGCCAAATATCAGATTATCGATCTAAAAGACAAACAAGCCATTTGGTATTTATTTATTTTATTTTAACTATTTAACATCTACGAAAAGAAATAATTTAATTATTTTACTTTTCTTTATCCACACAGATTACTTTTTTTGCACAATTCATCTCTTTTGATATAACTGATTCATCAACCATGAATCCATCAATTCCAATGTACATACCAGCTGATGATGCAATTTACAATTCACCAAAATCAATTCCAGGTCAATTAAGTGCTACAACAAAATTTTTACCTTTTAACAGATCAGATTTTTCTACAGCAGGAACTACAAAACGTAATGGTATTAATAATGTGACACCATTTCTGGACTTGAGTCCTTTATATGGTATCAGTATTGCAGAATCAAATATGCTTCGTGATCTTGGTAATAGAGGCAGAATGAAAACAAATGGAGGAAGTCCAACCAACTCATATCCAATAAGAAACCAAACAACAGGAAGTTATATTATGGGTACACACTCAACAAGATCAAATAATATTTTCACTTTAGCAATTTTGACTATTTGGTTACGTGAACATAATAGATTGTGTGATGAATTGTATGATATACATGGTGATACTTGGACTGATGATCAATATTTTGAAGAAGCTGTAAGTAACTTTTATAATGATGTTAATGATAAAAATAATTGGCTTTTACTAACATTAGTTTCCTTTCAATTTTTTTTTGTATTATAATCTATCCTATTCTTAATATTTAGAGGAAATGGAATATTGCATTTTATCAAAAAGTAGTAACAGAAGAATATCTTGGTGTTGTATTGGGCCAACCATTACCGCAATATCAAAAATATGATCCAGCCCTAACTCCAGGAATTGACTTATTCTTCTCCACTATAACATTCAGATATGGTCATACTGAATTAAGTGATTATTATCATATTAAAGATAAATATGGTGATATAGTTAAAGAAATTCCATTGAGTGATATTTTTAATATGGATTTATTAGAATCCTTTGATTTAGTATATTTAATAAGATCAATGTCTGTTCAACGCCAAGAAGAAGTTGATTCGTATTATACAGATTCTACAAGAAATGTAATAACACCTGAACCAAACACTTATGACGTTGGTGCATTTGATCTTTTAAGGTCAAGAGATAGGGGTATGTGTGCATTTGTGAATGAATGAATGTGATTGTGTATATATGAAATAGTGTTAAAAGATATTAGTTTTAAAAAAATTGTATAGGGATTCAGTTATATAACAATGTTCGTCAAGCATATGGTTTGGCAAGAAAGAAAACTTGGGCAGAAATAACATCCATTACAAAGTTGCAATATTATTTAAACCAATTGTATCCTAATGGTCCTGATTCATTAGAAGCTTTTGTTGGAGCAATGGTTGAAGATCATTTGGTTGGATCTAATTTTGGTGAATTATTGAGTACTAGTATGTTTGCACAGGTATATTTATATGGTGTATATATAATACCTAATATATAAATATAAATATAAATATATTAATTAATTAATTGTCAATTATCTAGTTTGAACATATCAGAAATTCGGATAGATTCTGGTGGCAGAATACTCAGAATAATCTGTTTACTGCTGATGAAATGGCTGTTAATAGAAATACAACTTTCAAGGATATAATCATTCGTAACCTTCCAGAAGATGTCAGAACAGCTGTTCCACAGAATATTTGGACGGTTCAACCAGTAACAAAAGTTGATAGTCCACGATCATCTGATTATCCTGGAGTTATTGAATTATGGACCACTTACCTTGTTAGTTACAAGATTGTTGGGGAAAATATCAATTTCAAAGTTCAATTGGAAACCGTTGGTGGTGAAGGATGGTTTGGAATGGTTAGTTAGTGATGATGTTATGACAACAAGTTTATAATGAGTTTCTTTATAAGTTTAAAACCTGTTAACTAATAGGTTTATTAATTTTATAAATTAGGGATTTAGTCCTGATGATGATGGAATGAAAGGAGCAGATTTTGTAATTGGAATTGTGAGTCTTCAAATTTAATAATAATGATGATGATGATGATCTTTTTTTAAATAATACTTCAACACCTCATTGTTGATTCTAATAAAAATATTATTGAAAACTTCTTTCAGGTTTCAAATGGAAATATAACTTTAAAAAATTATCGAGCTGCTGGTATGGGCTATCATCCTCCTATTGTTGATGATAATGGTCCAGGCTTAGCAATCAGTAAAAATGAAATAGTAAATAACCTTGCTACAATTGAATTTGCACGACCTTTATCACCTGGAGGAAGAAAAGGAATTAATAATGGGCCTACAAAATGTAATTTTATTTTATTTTATAAAATTTCTTTATTCAAAATTTCATTCTTTTAAAAAAATCTAAATAATTGATTTTCAGATATTTTGGCTTATAATCCTGGAAGGTACGTATACCAATTTCATTGGTATAAAATTCAATCAACATTATTAATAAAAAAAATTTTCCTTGCATTTTTAATAAAATTAGTTCACAAATTTCCTATCATTCAAACAATCGTCAATTTATAATTGTAGACTTTTACAATCATCAAATTTCTGCATCAGCTGTAACTAAAGCTGCAAAATTAGCAAAGTTAAGTCATGGAGTTGGAATGTTTTTAACTTGGAGGTATGTTGTTTATAATTAATAATAAATATTAAAGTGTTTTGTAAAGATATTAAACATTTATTATATTTCCATTCCCTATTAGTGTTCTATTCCCTATTTCAATTTTCATAGTTAGATATTACAAACATACCAATAATTATGTTAAAATACATCGATTTGCACAATTACTTGGTGGTATTAGCGTTGGTAGTTTTGGTGCAGCTGCTATGACAACAATTAGTACAGGGACATATCATTCATGGTACCTACTATATATATATATATTTAGAAATTACAATAAAAAAAATTGATTTTTTTTAAATATTAATAATTAAATTAATCTTCTTTTTTCCATCCTTTATGAAAAGGTTAGGATTGATTATATATTTTTTGATATTTATTGAACTTGGATTAGGTTTAATATCAATTTGGAGTCAAGCATTTATAGTATCAGTTAATCAGGGTTATCCTAGATTTTTAAAAAGGATTCATAAATTTTTTGGTGTTTCCTTATTATTATCTGCATGGGTTAATGTATATTTGGGAATTTATACATTTTGTACATCTTATGGACAGTAAGTGTTTATAATATTTATTTAATATTCAATATATAGTTATGACCTTGAATTTTTTCAAACAAAATCATATTTATTAAATTTTCTTTAGTAATCCACTACCATATACGATGTCATATCTTTTATTAGTCTCAGTTACGATATCAGCCTTTATATTTGGTCAATATTATTGGCGTTGGGGAACAAGATGGAATATTAGGAAATTAAAAAAAAATCACAAAGGAGGTTTTGAGAAAGATACAGATGAGGAGGAATCTAAATCAATACTATTCAATTATATCACTATGGAAAAATATAACTCATTACCAGAGTTTACATGGGATGAACTCAATGAACGTGTTCAACGTGGTGCATATTTAGTAATTTGTGATGGATTAATTTTTGATATTAGGAAATGGATTGAGGCGCATCCTGGCGGTGCAAAAATTCTTGAACGTGTTATTGGGACTGATATTACAAATGGTAAAAATAAATAAAAATCATTTTCAAAATTTTCTTTTATAACTAACTAATAACTATAATAATTATGTAAATAGAATTTTTTGGATACAATACTGTTCGTGAAATAATTGAAGAAGTAGATGAACCAGATGTTCCACCACTTTCAACTGGTGCTTCAGATTCAGTATCACCAGTTTTAGGAAAATATACAAATTTATTACGTGAAAGAAACAAAAAAAATAAATTATCTTACAATAAAAGATCAGTGGCAAAAATTTTTGATAATGTGAATGTTAAATATTTTCTAAAATCTCCATTAGCTGTTCATTCGCACAGTTTATTCGCAGCCAAAAAATTGTCAACATTAATTGTGGCAAGATTAAAAGAAAATGACTATATAAATCCATCATCTTCACCAATCACACCTCAATTTGGGCCATTTAATGATGATGGTCAAATTTATTCTAATAAGGAGAGTGCAATGAGTGATTTAGATATTACGAAACATGAAGCTGCATTCAGAGTTAAATTTCATCGATACAAGTTGACAAGTAGAATGCTTGCTAATAATAATAAGAAACAACCTGTAATAAAATTTACATTTACAAAAGTTTATCAAAATGATAAAGATTCAATAGATTATAAATTTTTACCTGGACAATACATTGAGGTGCAATCAAGAATTAAAGGCCAAGTGGTCATTAGACCTTATACACCAATAGAAGGAAAAATAATTAAAAGTTTTAGCATTTTTGTTAAAATTTATCCAGGTGGACTCATGTCACAACATTTGGTAAGGTTTTATATGAATGAATGACAAATTTAATTAATCGAAAGTTATATGTAAAGAAATAATTATTTATATTTGCTATTTATTATATGATTTTTTAGAATGATCAATTGATAGGATATGAGATTCAAGTGAGAGGGCCATTTGATATTGGTGATAGAATCAATTTAACATCACCAGCATTACCTCAATCTGCTGATTTTAAAACTGCATATAGAAAATCAGTCTTATCAATGCCAACATCTCCATCAAATATATCTCATCCAAGAAGTTTTATACTTAATCCCAATAATGTTGATGGCACTTGGGATCAATTATACATGATTTGTGGCGGTACTGGAATTTCACCAATGTTACAAGTAAGAAATTTATTTATTTTTGCATAATAAACTTTTTTTTTGTTTCATTTGTTTTTGTTCAATTCATTTATTTATTTATATAAAACTTATTTTATTTGATTATAGTTAATAAAGTATCATTTGGAAATAAATATGAAATATGCTCAACAAAACCCATCATTAAGTAATAAACGTGCATCATTGCACTTATTATTTGGTAATAGAGCTATAGTGGATATTATTGATGGTATTGAATTAGAAGAATTGGCAATAAATAGTAATAATTTTCTGAATATAACCTATTTGTTATCACATCCACCTGAAGGTTGGTTAGGAATTGAAGGTAGACTTGATCAGTTGATAATTGATAAATGGTTAAAATCACAGATTGGTATGGTTAATCACAATAATGATAATAAGGATAAGAGCGTCCTTATTTCTTCTAATAATAATAACAAGAAACATCATCATTCAAAATCAAATTCTTTGAATGATTCATTAAGTAATATTGCATCATCAGTAATTCATAAATTTTCAAATTCAAATTTACGCAAATATCCACCAGAATCGTTATCTACATCTTCATTAGTTGAACTAATTAAACATGATAATAATCCTCCTCCATCTATACTTATCAATGATGATAATTATAGTAATAGTAATACTAATAAGAATGACGATCATAAATCTGATGGCTCAAATACAATCCTTTCTTCTAAATTATTATCTACATCCTTTAATGATAGTAATCATATCCCTTCTAAACTTGGTCCTAATAGTAAAATATTTGTTTGTGGTCCACCTAATATGATGATTGCTGTTGAAAAATCATTAAAGAATCTTGGATATCATGAAAATGAATTTATATTATTAATTTAGAACAATATTTTTTATTTATACTTAGTATATTTAGTTTTTTAATTTAATTTTTTAATTTAATTTTTTAATTTGATAGATTTTAATTTGATAGATTTTGATTTACTTTTCAGTTCAAATTTGATAACATCCCTCCTTTTGGAAAATAAAAGTGATCAGCATATCATGACCTTTTAGGATAATTTGTTTTTTTTTAATGAATCAATATACAATCCTTTTATCTACAATAACATTTGTAGATATGTCCTTTTAAATGAAAAAACAAACTTCTGGATTTCTACAAGTTATCTTTTGCCTTATAAAGTCTTTGGCAAAAAATACATGAAAGCTAATTGTTTCTTCATCATCCGATGTATATTTACTAAATGCAATGCGGTTATGCATGATTTACAAAATGTATAAATTAACAAATATGAATAACACTTGCAGGGATTTCCTCCCTTGTAAATTCAATAGAACTTGGAAGTTTTAAATTTTAGTGTTCTCCGTAATGGTTCAACTAGCATCTTTTCTGTTGGTTCAAGAGTAAATGAAATCAAAATTTTTGCAGAAAATTTATGTAATAACTCTTTTTTCAGTAAAATAATCTATTGTTTCAAATAGCAGATTCTCAAAATTACATTCTTCTTCAATTGTTATTACAGGCTTTGCAAGGAAAATTGAGCTTTGAGGCTTGTAGATCAATCACTTGAAATCAAATTATTGAATATCCATCCATCCATCCATAAGCAAGATTTAATAGTGAATTGAAACATAGGAAAGAAATTGTGCCAATTACTGTTATTTATTTCTACTTCCCCATCTTCATCCACGCCCACGTCTTCACCACAAAACAACATCAATAATGGCCAGCTTTTCAATTGTATTTTGTTTGACAACGCTTGCTTGATCAATGATTATTAACCTTTTAACATGCCTTTTAACATCTTTGAGATCAAAAGCCAAGGTAATATTTGTGTAAATGGGGATCACATATCATTTTGGGGTTGGTCATCATCAAAAAATAATAAACATCAATAAATTTTCATATATTCGGATTTTTTAAAGGTTATTTTGAAAAATTTGTGACGCCTCCAAAATAATAATCAATAAAATTGACCTTTATAAAAAAAATTTCTACTAATATAAATAAAAAAACTCCCTGATAGGCTATTAATTGAGTGTATTTACATACAATTGCGGAAAGATTATTCACACAGCTTGCTTGGTTATTGAGCCTTTACATTTTAAAGTTTATCTAAATTTCCACTGTTTATATTAATAGTAAAATCAATAAATTTGATAAATTTGGACTTTTATAAAATTTTTTTTTACTAATATAAATAAAAAAAAACTCTCTGATCGGTTATTAACTGAACGGTTTGGAAATACAATTGCGGGAAGATTATCCCCACAGCCTTTTAGTTATTGAGCCTTTACGTTTTAAAGTTTATCTGAACTATTACTATTACTACGTTTGATGATCAACCATTGTGACCAACCCCAATAAAAGGTGCAGAGATAATGAATTAATTGGAAATTTATCTTTATAACCAAATTATTATTGACATTCTGGATATTAATTATTTACCAGGCTATCAACAGAAAACGCCTGTAAATCAACAACTTCAACACAATTATCAACAACACTCTATATAATTGGAACAACCCAGAAGAAAATCAATAAATTATCTTTGATAACGAGAAAAATTTTGACAATAATAATGATGATGACAATGGTGATGCCATTATTGTTACTACAAGTGGAC